CTCAATATTTTAGAATAGTGGGTTAATTTCCAACTGGAAAGGTTTTTGCTTTTTATGCTTTTGTTGATTTCTAATGCTACTGTGCACAGAAAATACGGCTCGTGTGATTTCAGTAAATTGGCTTTTCAGTATTCTGATTGAGGTTTACTTTGGGGCTAACACCTGGTTAGGTTTTGTGAACTATCCCTGTGTGTTTGGAAAGGACATAAACAGGGATATATTTTTTTCAGTATATTTCTATTAGAACAAGGTTTTTATCGACTTGTTCATGACTTTTGGTATACCTGACCTGTTTATTTCTGAGTGAAATACACGTTTAAATATTCTATTCAGTCTATTTCTCCTTGTATTTTGCTTATAATTTTGACTTAAAATGCCAGGTGCATAGACTATGACAGGACTGTCCCTTCTAGCGTGTATGCTTACATTTTATCACACATATGTAAGCTTACATTTTTCTAAAAACATGTAGATTTAATAAAAATCTATGTCCTCTCTAAGAAAAAAAACTCAATGTCTTCACTTTTCATCTCCTTCTCCCCACTCATCACTTTCCTTGTAATACAGGATTTTAGTCTATTTTTGCTTATTTGCTTTTACAGTTAATTGCATAGCAATAACGGTACATTTCACTAAACTTTGTGCAACACTGTTTCTTATGGCCCAAGCATTCCTGCTAGATGGGATGCTCATTTTGCTTGAGCACATCCGTTTTCTCTTGGAAAGGATCTACGGGCCAAAAATTTTCTGATTCCCGAGTATTTGTTCATTTTCCCTCAGTCTAGAATGCTAATTTGACTGGACTCTGGCTCAACACTATTTTGCTAGAAAGGAGAAGATGATGCGGCCGTTGGAGAAGCAGGTCACGGGGGTTTGTCAGACGGGGCCCCACAGAGGGGGTGTCACCGCTGACCCGGGGGCTGTGCCCGCAGCCGGAGGGGCGGCCTCAGCCCAGGCACAGGGAGCCCACCCAGGTGTGTAGGTGGAGAGGGGACGTTCCCTTTGTTGAGCATTTGTCTGCTTCCTTGGTACTCCGCTGCTGAAGTGTGATGTGATGATGCAGACGAAGGGGAGCAAATGTGGTGAAAGAACTTACAGAGAGCAAGTTCTCACTGTGGCTGAGGACGGGAAGAGTGCTGGAAGACTGAGTGGAGAGGGGAACGTGAGACAGGCACTGGGCGGGGGCGGGAGAGCAGAGGACGGCTGAGCAATGCCCGAGGCTCACGGGACTGAAGCTGGGACTCCCAAGGGTGACTGCAGAGCTTTCTCTATCCAGGCTCAGAAGGCAAACGGCTGGATTTAACCTGGGCTGGGGTCTTCCCACATCAACACAATGACGTGACGGAGGCAAAGCAGCGTATGCGAGAGTCACTTTGGTCACGGACACGGCAGTACGCAGTGGGGACGGGCTGAGAAGGGACGTGAGCACCAGAGAGGCACTCCGGGCTGCAGTGCGCTGGACCAGCAGGCTGGGTGCTGTCTGGCCAGAGAACCCAGTTCTGGAGGCCCGAGCTGTGTAGCTGGAGCGTCTGGACCTGGAAGTGGTTATTGGTGATGAGGAGGCCAGAGATGGAGAACGAGACCTCTGGCAGGGGAAGCGGAGGCACGGAGGGCAGGGGAGGCTTCGCTGCAGCATGCTGAGGTCGCCAGACACTGCCACGAGAGTCACGCCGGGAGGAGTGACAGCCAGGAACGAGGGACCACGGGGGGAGGGCGGGGGCGCAGGCCTGGAGGAAGAGATTCGGTGTTTGCTGCTTTTACAGACGGGGAGATGGCAGCACTTCCGGTCTCGCGGGATCTCCGGGAATCCTGTCCCTCCCCACCCAGAGGAAGTGTCTACTTCATCTCCGCCTGGCTTTGGACAGGCTTTCGTGGCTGCCCTGATGAACAGTGTGGCAGCAGAGATGCGTGCGACTCCTGGGCTATAAAGTGACATGGTTCTGGTCCTGCCTGGCTCTTCACCTGTGGGGAGGCTTGTGTTTAGAACCCAGTTACCATGCTGGGAAGAAGCCCAAACCAGCCATGTGGACCAAGGGGAGGCTCACGTGGAAACTGAGGCACTCAGCCAAGGGCCAGCACCAGCCAGACAGGAGTGAGCCTTTGTTGACTTCGTGGCGGAGCAGGGACAAGCTGTGTCCGCTGCACCCTGCTTCCGGGTTCTGTGAGCACAATAAATGTGAGGCATGTTTCACACCACGACGTCCTGGGAGAACCTGCCCTGTGGCCATGGTAACCGCAGCCCTCTCTCTGGGAGCACAGAGGAACGTGCACAGAGGTACGGGGCACACGCCGGGTTTCTGTCAGGATGAGCAGGCGAAGGTCAGTGTAGGGGGAGTTTCAAAGTCCGTGAACGGAGCCCACGGAGGCCAGGCCCCACAGCGGCAGAGAGACGTCTGAGAGGCTCGTCCTCCCTGCCGGACTGGATGTGAGGGCTCAGGAAGTGGAGATCGAGTGACGCCCTCGCGAGGAAGCCAGGAAAAAGGAATGGGGAAAAGCTATTTGTCACATATATGACAGGCATCAACCCTTCGATCATATATGAAGGGACCCTACAAACAACACTAAGAAATTACACAAGAAAAATTTGGTCAAGGATATGAATAATTTACAGAAAGAAATACCAACGGCCTAGAAACGTGTGTGGGGAACCCCTAACATTCAGAAAAAAATGCAAACTGAGTCAATGAAATACCCTTTTGTGGTTGCAGCTGGGTAAAGATTAAGACCAAGGGTCTCCGCACAGTGAGGGGGGGGCTGGACAGGGCTGCCGGTTTGGACGGTGACTCGATGGCGTCGGCCACAGTTTAAATACGTGTGTCCTCTGAACCGGCAGCTCCACTCACGTCAACTCGCGTGAGCAGGCAGTTCAGATCCTGTGTGCTGCGTATGCAGCCAGTGAGGAATTCCGGCCAATAGAATGTTAGAAAAAAATGTAGGGGGACCCAGAGGTTGAAAGAAAATTTTATCTGACTATAAAAAGTCAGAAAATGAAAATGAAAAGGATCCTATAATCTCCTCCAGCACCTGCTGTTTTATCAACCTATAGCAAAGACATTCCAGGCTTCGCTTCTCTTTTTCTCTGATGTCATCACAAAGACCTCAATATACTGGACCTGACGTGTCTTCAATAATCAAATGTGAATTATATTAAGTAATATATTTTGCTTTATTTTAACTTTTACATTGATACATGGGAATTTCATCAGAAGACTTCAGAGATAACATGTAACAATATTAAGGTCACAAAAAAATCACTGCTCTGGATGTTCCAATGCAATACAGATTGTATCAACTCAATGGCTTACTTGAGCTTGTTAACTGAACACAAGTATTTTATTGACAAATCAGGTATTATAAAGAAACACGGATTTTCCTAGAACTAAGAGTCTAAGGAACGGGAGATTTATTTCAAGGTTATGCAAACAAGTACCAAATACATCTTCTAGAAGCAGCAGCAGTTTCAAATGAGCATAGATGAAAAGGATTAGACAGTTAATATTTAGATAGATTTTTTTTAATTCCACTTATGAATGTTCCTATTTCCAAAGCGAGGAAAAAATGTGAGTTCTACAAGGCTTGCATGAAAAATGACTCGATATGCAAATACCCTTAAGGAGGAACTGAAATCGGGGCCAGGGCATTTCAAACCTAACAAATGCAGATGTATTAAAGTCCTTTTAGTAAATACTAGACAAGGTTTTAGACGCCTGGAGCTACGTACACGTGAGCTGCTCATCAGGGTGATTCACTAAGTGCAGACATACAAGTTGGTCTGTGACGATGTTCAGGGGCTTGTTTTTAAACACAGTGACAACACGAAGTGTCTTCTGGTAACAGGAGTATTTCCTACACGTGCCCCGTGGCCTATCTCCAGAGTCCCGCTGTGGTCCTCCCCACCGGCTCTCCATTCTCAGGACACAGGTGGGGACTTCCAGGTCTGGGGCAGATGCCACCGAGCAGAGGGCTGTCTTCCAGCTCCTGTTCTAGAATGCTTCCCAGGGTCAAGTCCCTGGCTGCTCTTTTCCCCATAGGTAGAGCTCAGTACAATTCCGGGCTTAAAATGTCAATTCTTGTGTTACCTGAAAATTCTTCCATGAAAAGGATTACTCTGAACTTGGATTCATTTTAAATGTTTCTCAAAAACAAAAGCCCTTCAAAGCTCACAGATAAGGAGAACAACCGTACCACTTATTAGTGGCATCACGAACGACGAGGCTTCCTGGCAGCTCAATGATCACCTTCTCTCAAACACATCCTGTCCACAGCCTTCCTGTCTGCACCTCGGAACGGCCTAGGTTCACTGCCCTGCGGCATGAGCCAGAGCCCAGCAAGACGAACCGGACGGGACCACGTGGCAGAGCCCCCACGGCCCTGTGCCATGCCTCCAGCAGAACCCTAAGAGAAGTAACTCTCCCACCAGGAAGGTGAGAAATTAGTTGTTACTTCTTTTTCTGCCGAAACACTTCTGAGGACCAAGAGAAGAAATAGCTGGAAACTTTACTTTTCATTAGAATTTCTAATTAGAAAACAATGTCTGATATACTACACAGTAGACCCCTCATCCAGAGCTTCACTTACCCACAGTCACTGAGGTCGGAAAATATTAAATGGAAAATCCCAGAAATAAACAATTTGAGTTTTAAAACTGCATGCCACTCTCGGTCGTGGGAATCTCTCGCCATCCTGCTCTGTTCCACACAGGACGTGGACCGTCCCTTTGCCCAGCACATCCACACTGCAGACGCCACCAGCCAGCGCGGTGACCAGTCGACAGAGCACAGGAGGAAGGGTGAGGAAAGCACAGTAAGGCACGTGAGAGAGACGCCGTAGTCACGTGACCTTCATAAACTGCTGTGACTGTTCTGTTTCTAGTGCTACGCTTGTACTGTGCCTATTTATACGTTACACTTTGTCACAGGGACATACATACAGGCAATCAGCAGTGTGTGAGGGTGTGGTGCTACCCATGGTTTGAGGCATCCACTGGGGGGCTTGGGAAGTATCCCCCACAGATAAGGGGGACTCCTGAGTAGCTATCAGACACCAGGTTTCCAGAGGACTATTGAACACTCACAATCAGGTGTTAGGATACAGTAAGATCCCAATTTATTGAGAAAAGCAAGCAACTATGCCTCATCTACACCCTGGGCCGTGGAGTCAGGCTCACCTGCGGGAAACAAGACAACAGCAGCTTTTCACTAGAGGTGGGGAGAAGCCACTGGCCTGCGCCTTCTTCCCTCTTAATTAAAGCGGGTCTGGACCCCACAGGCCGCCCTCTCTGGAGCAGGGTCTCCTGGGGACTCTGCCGAGGGCAACATCAGGGCCATAGGTCCAGACCTGCGCTTTTCCTCACCACACTTTCTCTGGAGGAAAACTCATCTTGAAACCAAGTTAGCTCAGCACCAGGTCAGTAGGATTTACCACCTGAATTCTGTCTAAAGTTTGGAAATTGATATGGAGGATTTAGGTTACAAAGACAGATGTTTTACTAATTTCCTCTCAAGGTGCAGGTGAAGAACTTACCTGGAGGGTGACTAGTATCTTCTCCACTGGTCGTGCTCATACTGTCTGTTTCCTGCACCAAATAAATATGAAAACCAAACTTAGAATTAGATTTCTCTAAACACACAAATGACAAAAACACTGCACATTTCTAAGCACACACACTTTCTAATAAGCACACACACGAACAGCATGCTGAGCGGTAGCTGCAGGATAGAACTTTATTCTCTTTTCAGCTGTGGCCACGTCATTAAAATTTTGTTTTATAATTATGCCATTAAAGTGGAAGCAATTAATTAGGAGGCTGGTAGAAGGACAGAGTGTCAGAGCCGTCCCTCTCAACACCAGCCCCGCCATCTGCACGACACCTAGACATCTATCACGGCTAACGGCTCCTGGAAACGGAAACCCAGATGCAGATGGTGCACAGTGGACGTTTTGCCGAGTGCAGAAACCACCTGTGGCTCTTTGGCTGGGCTCAGAGCTGCCCTGTCCTGGTCTGGGGCACGGTGGCACCTTTCTGCCTTTCTGATACACGGGGATCTTGGGAAGAGATTCAGAGCAGAACCACCCAACTAACAGTAAAAAAGGTGATAGTTTTTCGCACTTAAATATAACGCTTGTCTTCAAAATTTTCCCCGCTCTCAGTTTTCTCCTGGCACACAGAAGTACACGCCTTTAATGTGTTGGGAATGGAGACCTCGGTGCCTTGCCTCTGGCCTCCTGGGCGCTGGCAGAAGGCTGGTGACAGCCACGGCGATTCCCAGACATTTGTTATCACAGATGAGTAGAGGTGGTTTTACAACAGCTCAGGCTCCCACAGAATCAGCACTGAGAAGTGACAGTCTGAGAAATCACAGGCACATTTGTAGCTACTGAATGTGGAATTTAACACATCATTTCTTAACAGCTGGGTTGAGCAACAGCAGGGAAGAGGTTAACAGTTCTCACTCTTGCTGTTTTGTTCTCAGGGCTCTGGGCTGAGCTCCAGGCTTTGAAGCTGACCACCGGGTGTCCAGGCCAGGCTCTAGGAACTTGCCCACTTTTGGTACTAACTGAATGCTCTCATTTATGAAGCATTTTTAGTTTTTGGTTTCTTTTAATAATGCAAAGAATTTTGCCTACGAATTCTGTCCTGGAAATAGTGACAACTTTCTACTAGAACTATGTTAGTATGTCCAAGAAATACCAATATAGGAGTTCAAGGTAGGCAAGACTCAGCAAAAAATGTGCTGCCCCAAATTCAGTCACAGTAATTAGAACTAAAAAAGTGGTTACCGGATATGAAAACATACACTGCAGTCCCGACCAAAGCCTGACTCCCTGTGTGTGTGTGTGTGATCTACACTCTACACTAAAATATCTGAAATTAGAAAACACGCTCGTGCTACCAATAACATTTTGTGAACGTTTCTCTATGTCAGGCAAAATGCAAATGAAACATACCATCCTTGCTCATGTGCTGTCTTGCAAGAGCCTTTTAATTTCTCTCACTCTTAATCCTAAACTCCTAAATCTGATAATAACTCAGAATTTAACATTTCAGTTTCGCTGTTAATCCCAGGGTCGCTGGAGGGATTTTCCAGCCCACTCACGTACATGCCCTACCACTCCTTGATTTTCGTGCTGTTGCTATGACCCTGCCCCAATAAAGTAGCGGTCATCTTCAAAGACCAATTTGTCAAAGTAGGGCACAGCCTTTAGGTGGCTTTAGGCTCTAGCTGTTGAGGTCATTACGGTTTTATTGCTTCTAAGTGACCAGAACAGAAGAGGTAAAAAACGTGCTCCCCCAAGCCTGGTGCCCAGTCTGACGAGCACGCCTTGGAGTTCCGAAGACGTCCTGAAATCCAAAGTGGTCACACGGGTGGTAAGAAGGGCAGCCTCGCACCAGGGTGCGCGTCGCAGACGGCCCCAGCTGCCCTCGCTGCCGCAGGCTCATCCACGAGACAGGGCCGGCTGTGCCCGGCTCCGACGATGGCCGCAGCCCACACCACCTCGTGCGCCTTTCTGGGTCAGGACCTGCAACTCCGCTTTGGTCACCTGGCTTTTTACTGACATCCATAAATGGTGTCCTAAAGAAACGTATGTCAGAAATGACGCGTGGGCCGAGTGGTGGGTATAGGCATATGTACCGGATTTACGCACTACGCTGGGGCGTACGACAAGCTGGCGTCGCACCGAGTGCAGTGAGGGCCGCTCAGGAGCCCTTCAGAACCCACAGGAACGTAGCACAGGAGGGCGCGCACGAGGAGTCCCCAGTCCTCCGCCTGCACGCGGCAGGTCACTGACCACGGCAGGTCCTGCGGTGGGAATGCGGCATCGCTTGAGAGCACGGGCAGGAAGGTGTGGGGGCCCAGGGTTCGGGGGGCACCGAGTCCCGAGGGAGGACAGTGGCAGCAGAGACAAGCGCGGGGGAGATGCGCCCAAACCCGCAGAGCCCACAGGACCGACTATCGGCTGAGCTGCGTGGGGCCACAGGTGCTGTGGATTTGGGGTCTTCTCAAATTTTGGAATATTTGTGCCACCCTTACTGGTTCAGCAACCCTAACCAGAAATGTGAAATGCTCCAGTGAGCATTTCCTTTGAGCATCCTGTCGGTGTGCAAAAAGTTCCAGATTTTGAAGCATTTTGGGTTTTGGACGCCCAGCCTGGCTGTAGTTCCTGTTCTACCAGCAGCACACACTGTCACAAGCAGCAAGGCACAAGAACAAAGCACTCCTGGAAAGACACGCTGCCACGTGCTGCCCTGACGCCCCCAGCCTAGAGCCACTCTTCTCCAGGACCGATGGCCAGGCCACCGCCGCCTCGCACCAGCCCCTAGGTCCTGTCGCCCCAGCTGTCCACCTGGCGCCCTCTCCTCGCCCACACCCGCCTTCCACGTGAAGACCCCTCTGCTGCCCCTCAGCCTGCCCCGCTGGCAGTCACCACACAGGCGGCTGGGCTTGCGGCAAGGCCAGCAGCAAGGCGGGGATGGCCCGAGAGATCTGCTGTGGTTACCACTAGAATAGCTCCTCATCTGCCCTAAGCAAGGCCACTCTGTGGTTTCAATTTGCACAAGGAGGAGAGATTTCTGGACAGTATTAATATTCTCCAACAGAACGTGAAGAATACGAACTCTGTTTTCTACCAGTCCAAGGGGGAGGGCTCTTCTTGTCTGATCCACACACGCCTGTGATCTCGCTGGTGCACCAAGGAAGGAGCAAGGCGGCGCTGCGGCATTCCTCCCGGCACTCGGCCGTGGTCACGGAAGCAGACATGGAGCTCGAAACTGCACATGGCAGCCATGCCGGCAGGCTTCGGTGTGCTTGGCTGCTTTTTGTCATGGACAAAAAAACAGCTGTACTAAGGTATAACTGACATTTTCTTTTTAACAGAATTCTTTA